CCCCAAAAAAAATAAAATAAAATAAAATAGTAAAGTGGTTATCCCACTGGCTATAGGGTGAATGCACCAATTTGTAAGTCGCTCTGGATAAGAGCGTCTGCTAAATGACGTAAATGTGCCCTTGAGCAAGGCACTTAACCCTAATTGCTCCTGTAAGTCGCTCTGGATAAGAGCGTCTGCTAAATGACTAAAAAATAAAAAATAAAAACTAAGTGGCTCAGGGAACAAAACATCAAAATGTTGGGTCCATGGCCAGGAAACTCCCCAGACCTTAATCCCATTGAGAACATGTGGTCAATCCTCAAACAAACAAAACCCCACAAATTCTGACAAACTCCATGCATCGATTATGCAAGAATGGGCTGCCATCAGTCAGGATGTGGCCCAGAAGTTAATTGACAGCATGCCAGGGCGGATTGCAGAGGTCTTGAAAAAGAAGGGTTATACTGCAAAATATTGACTCTTTGCATAAACTTAATGTAATTGTCAATAAAAGCCTTTGACACTTATGGAATGCTTGTAATTATACTTCAGTATACCATAGTAACATCTGACAAAAAATATCTAAAAACACTGAAGCAGCAAACTTTGTGAAGACCCACATTTGACCACGACTGTATATTACTTTTTACAGTCTATGATTTTAACCTTATGCAATGTCGCCCCCTGGCGTGCTATATACAACCTCACAACATGTGGAAAGATGAGTGTGTAAAGAAATAGTTGCAGGCCTAAAAGTGTAGATAGATATTTATGTTCAAATGTTATTTTGTGGAGATGGTTACCCCGATCTTGTTTGAGATTTTGACCCATTTATCACTTGTCAAGTGACATCAATTAATATAGTTTTTGTCTTGTCAAGCATTATTCTTTATGCATACATATTTACCATATTTAAATGGTCCTAAAACATTTGCAGGTGTTGTTAGTAGCTGCATTATTTGCTTTCTTGTATCAAAGTGGGTTAACTGTACCTGCAAGCCAGACAAGTGGCGTTGGTTGTTATCGCATCGAGCTCAGAAACACTATTGCTCGTGCTTTCTATGGTACAATGGCCGCTCCTCTGCAGGTCGAATGACTATATCCTCCCTCTTTCAGAATACATTTTCCATCCACTTGGTCGCTTGAATAAAAATGATAGTCTGCTTCTCGAATAAGCTCAAAAGTAAAACGCCTTTCATAAAATTACATAAACGTATGGATACTAACTGCAAAACGACGCTACCAAAATGTTAGTCAAAACAGTCGAATGATGTCCTCCTAGTAAAACTCTACTCGATTGGTTACGTTGCCGCGGAATATCCACCAATCACGCAACGTCTTTGGAGAATTTCCAAAAGTTGTGCTACAAATTAGCAAACAGGTGGCACTGGCTGGCTAGTGTGGGTGCATTTGAAGAGTATGAACATTAGATTGTAACACTAGTGCTGTTTTTATATTAAAGCTGCAATATGTAACTTTTTGGGGACCCGACCAAATTCACATAGAAATGTGTTATAAATATGTCATTCTCATTGAAAGCAAGTCTAAGAAGCGGTAGATCTGTTCTATGTGAGCTATTTCTATGCTTCCCGTTCTTAAATTTAGTTTTTGCATCTTCAACTTTCGGTTTTGTACACTAGCTTCAAAAAGCTGAAAATACAATATTTTTGGTTATGGAAAATATATTTCACAGCGGTTCAGATGGTACGATGATTCTCTACTACACCAGTGGTCACCTACTGGTCGTTCGCGAACGACTGGTCGATCTCCAAGGCATTCCTAGTCTTATCGCCAAACATTTATTGGGGAAAAACAACAATAAAGCCTTACAGCGCTGTTGGAGGTAGCAGGGTCTGCGCCAGAACGAATCATTTGATTGGGAATTAGATTTCTATAGGCGGGCCTGTTTTTTTCATGGGAATTTGGATAATAGGTATTATAATAAAGACCGTAAGCAGCTTGTGAGTTTCAAATTTGGGGAAGCTTACAATTTATCCTACCATTTCTACCTATATGCATGGCAATTATGATTATTTTTATATGCGCATTTCAATAATAACGTTTTTGGTTCTCAAAATTATTGTCACGTGGTTAATCATGAAAATATTAATTACAATTATAATCTAAAACTTACAATTCAACTAATGCAAAAACACCAGCCTTTGCCATATGGACACATTGATAGCTTACACCGTGATCCATTGGCAGCTAAATAAATTAGGCATGGCACTCAGAGTAGGCCTATAACTTCCATCATCAACTAAGTAAAATACATAGGCCTAAAGCCGACAAATAAAAACAGTAGAAAATATTTTTTAAATCACAATCTCTCTAATCCGCCTGTCTGCCTCCCTTTCTATCTGTCTTGATTTGGGAATTCAGGCGACAAGTTTAGGTCTGCATATCAGTTCACATGACCAGCTATTTTGTGTTGAGCAGTTAACAAATAAATAGGTATTCCTATATGCTTAATTTAGAGTTATTAATGTAACTTCAGTTGTTCTACAAACGTTGGTCTATATGTTTTGATTTGTAATACATTGTAAGACTGCATGATGTGACTAATGATGATTTGAAAAAAGTTGCTTGAAAGGCATGAGCTCTGCTTTGTTTTTTGCACAGGCTGTACACACTTTATCAGTCACTCATTCACAATTTTACAAGCACTTAATAATGCCTTGAATTTCACGGTGGCATCCCCTTTGTGTCCGTAATGCACCCTAAAAAAATCCATGCCTTTTGCGGCCAGTGGCCGTTGTGCTCAGGAGCATCTCTCACTCGCATGGCTCTCCATCACGTGATCGGGTCTTTCTCACAGGCTACAAGTGAAGACAGACACATCAGGGACGCAACTGCACACTTCTTTATCCAATTTCAAGGTGTATTTGGAATATATTGGAAGAACTTTCCACATTTACTTTTCGTCAGCCAACAAGATGAGTAGGCCTAACAAACAGAAAAAGCACTAGTCTATGTCAATCTACTATCCCCATAGTACAAACGTTGACCTATTCTATTCTGTGCGAGAAATAAATATTCCATAGTCTGGGACAGTTGTGGGATGTGCTAGATCCCAAATTAATACAACCACTAGCATCAAAAAAACGCAACAGATCAGAACGTTTAGCTTAAAATGTTGATAAACGATTAGGCTATTTATTCACATTATAAGCGCAGCAATGCGCACATGGCAGTAGGTTATAAGTGCAAATGTTCCATTAGCGGGAAAACACCATTATCAACAGTGACCTCAAATGCAATTATGCATGTAATGCTTTTATTATAAAGGTGCATTTTTGTGGTGAAAATGATCTTCCCCAAACTTGAAACTCACGCGCTGCTTATGTTTGCCAGTTAGGCTCTACACCCCTTGTAAAGCGGATTAATGTGCTTAATTTTAGGAAGTTATTTGGCCACTTTAGTTGTGATACAAACCTTATCAAAACATATAGGCCTATGGGCTAGGCTACATGAGGTGTGTGACTATGATTCGAAAAAGTCACAAAAAAAGGCATTGTTTCTTATGCTGGGCATCATTCACAAGTGATAATATATAATTCACAAGTGATAGTATGAAAAATGTATGCACTCACTAACTAAGTCGCTCTGGATAAGAGTGTCTGCTAAATGACTAAAATGTAAAATGTAATAGGCTAATTCACAAGTGTCACCCATCAGACTATTCTTGATTTAATCTTGTCTTTACATATACCAAATAATATATGTGTGAAATTTGTTTTGATTTAGAATGGACCATTATCATGCACCTGTATCGAAAAAATACATGTCATCTATGCACTTAAATAGGGAATGGAGGACGCTTTTCCAGTGGTTCATTTTCATGCCAGCCAGGTAGGCTATACTCCTGTTGTAAATATAAGCAATGTGCTTAACATTAGGAATGTTGAGAAATAAATATAGTAGGCCTAGCCTATAGAAAGCTGATGGGATCCTCCTCTTTTTAGTAGAGACCATCACTCTGTTTTCTCGCACAATTGCATAGCCTATAGAAATGTTGCGCAACATGAGCTCATGGGCTCTCATGAAGTGTTTGGTTAGATTTTCGATTACATTTGCATTGATGTCAGAGTGATTAGAGGGACAATAGAGTGCTGAGTACCAGGCAGTTAGCAAGTTTGGTAGGCTACTAATGACCAGCAGCAGCATCAGAGCTTGGAGAAGCCTAATTACCATTACTAAACAGTCACGTGGAATTTGACTGCCTTCATCACTCGTGACCGCCGGTGTGGCAGTAATACAGTCAAAGCAACAGCCCTACATAGGAGGAACAACATGATTTGGTGCATGAGGCAGAAATAATGCAGCGCGACATAAGTTTCTCCATCAGCTGGAAGACTGTCCCCTTTTCTCAGTGTAGAGAGGAGGGACAATGAGTCGGGTGAGAGGTAGCCTCACCGCTTCTCCCTCCCTCCCCTCAGACTGACCATCAGATGCAGGCCATCAGTACAGTAAAAAAAAAAAAAAAAAATGATTATGCTCACTCAGCTGTGCCTCACAAGTAATACAACAAATGATGTATTACCAGTGTGATCATATACCTAAAATGTTGAAATATAATTTCTAAATGGTCTGAGAAGGACAAGATAGGCAGGACAATTCAAGCATAGTGATAATGTATTGGGCCAATAGCCTACTTGCACAAACCTCATTGCTACATAACTGTTTTTAATTGGTTAATGTTGCATAGGCTTACGTTTCTTAAGTAATGTCTAAAAAAATATATCTGAGCGGTAGATCTCGGCTTGCATTTTGAATCAGAAAAGGGATCTTGACTCAGATAAGGTTGGTGACCACTTCTCTACACTATACTTGCTTGTTTTGTCACATAAACTGATATTAGGCAAACTATTAGAATTTTAGCAACCAGGAAATGGCGGCGTGATTTCTGTATAGTTTATCTTTAAGTGTGTAAATGCTGTGTTTATTGTTGCACATCAAGCTAAGCCTAGGAACAGTGGAACAGTAAACTATTGTTGATGCAATGCACTCTAACAACATTTACATAAAATATTAGGGATATTATTTATTAGCAGCAAAACTTCACAATGGCATTTTACATGATTAGCATCATTGAAAAGATTGATGAGAGCCTATTTACATGATATAAAATCCCCCTTAAGTTAAATCTCATGCTTGACTATGATTCACAATAACTATAGGCCTACCATATATTTACATTCTTCAATAATACTGTATAGTTTTAATGACAAAAGGTATTACAAAAAAAGTGGTTCAGTTGATGTTATGATGGCAGATTTAACACAACCTTTTGGAGCACACAGATGGAAGTATATGTCCACATTGACGATCATTCCAGCGTTTTTCACCTAAAGAGGAAACAAGGAATATAAATGATCTCTCCGCTTGATTACGAGTGCATGAGCTAGAAAAGTTTGTACTGCTGCTGTATGGCAATGGACTTAAAACAGACATTGACATATTTAGCTTGGTTTTACATTTCCTTGTCAGACATGTTTGTTAAACACACTATAAATAAAGTTCGATGTAATTTAAGGATAGTGTGATAAGAGTTTGATTACTGTACCTCCAAAGTTCATCATCATGCATGGCTCTCTGCCACCAGCATTATTGGGTTCTCCCATGAGCCAGTTCCTGTAGTCAAATTTGGAGCCGTCACTCCAAAGCCACACTCGGTTCTGTGGGGAAGAAGTCGTCTCAGTGTCAAAGAAACATAACCATAGAATACAAACAATCAAATTGTTGCCAGTAGATAATACATAGGTAAAAAATGCTCTAGTGTAGGTCTAGAATACTGTTTTAAGATTTCCCAAACTTAGATCTGACTTTGTTGATGATCACTCTACCTGAACAGCATCAAATCCTCCAATCCAGGCAGGGGTAAAGTCTTCTGTCTGTAGTCTGATCACCTCTTGCACAAAATGATACTCTTCAGAGCTGTGGACGGATGCAAGGTTTGCTCCGAAGTGCACACAGTACCGCTAGAGAGAGAGAGAGGACAGGAACAGAGGAAAGGATATAACATCACTTAGATTTTATAATGGAAGTAAAAAAAACATACTTGTGTTCTTGCCACATGGATGCTTTTCACTGTATAATCCAGTGTGGAACTGCAGCACTGTGATCGGTGATACCTGGTGTGTGTCTATATTATCAGTCTAATATATCTAAGCCAAAACATGTAAAGGATGCAACAGGTTAAAATGCACCTCAGCATTCATCCACGTCTTGCCGGAACGTACAAACATGAAACACCGTGCCCCATACTCGAGCCAGCCAGGTGGGCAAGTGCTCCTGCGCCACCTCTCCACCTTCATCACCTCCACCTCTGTAATGAGACAAGACATGATCACAACAAACTCATTGAAGCCTAACATTACAAACGTACAAAATTGAAAGCACTGTGTTGAACAACTGGCTTATGTGGAGGAAGGAAATCTGATTTCTTCATGCACCAGGTTTCACCGATCACAGCGTTGTAGTTCCACACTCAAAAAGCCATTACAAGTTGCTCATTCATTGAAGACGACGTAACAACATCAAGCACTTACCAGCAGGTGAGCTCTGTTCCATGTTGTTTTCCATGACATTTGTATCCTCTAGAAGAAAGGAGATGTAACTAAATGTTATGAAGACATTTCATTTGACAAGTAAATCATGTGAGCTGTATCATTTTAGATGTCATATGAGGATGACGTGTGATTTCTTTTCTGTGTGTCTTACCTGTTGCACCGCTCAGAGCAAACGCAGAACAGAGAAGCAGGGAAATGGTAAACATTGCCATGGTGATAATGAGATCCTTTTGTTGTTGTTAAAAACAGAAGTTAGTGATGCACTGATGATTCCCTCAAAAAAGTGTAATGGAGTAGAATAGGTGGACTAATCTGTTACACTAATGTTCCTGTCAGAAAGTGTCGAAGTAAAAACTAGGTGATTTCTGTCGGTTCTCTTTAGTCAAGCAATGAGGAGCACTTTTATATTGTTGGCTCACATGGCCACAAGGAAACAGATTTCCCATAACTCCATATCAGTTGAACATAGTACAAAGTATCATGTTTGTGAGAGTTGTTAAACGTGATTATCTAATATATTGGGTTCAGTTGTTTACTGGGGCAGAGATTCAACAATAGGTGGAAAATACACATTCAGAACAACAGGTTTCAGCTGTGCTAACATAATTGCAAAAGGGTTTTCTAATGATCAATTAGCCTTTTAAAATTATAAACTTGGATTGGCAAACACAACGTGCCATTGAAACACAGGACTGATGGTTTCTGATAATGGGCCTCTGTACGCCAATGTATAGTGGGGAGAACAAGTATTTGATACACTGCCGATTTTGCAGGTTTTCCTACTTACAAAGCATGTAGAGGCCTGTATTAACTGCACCTGTTTGATTGAGTGTGTGGACAGGTGTCTTTTATACAGGTAACGAGTTCAAACAGGTGCAGTTAATACAGGTAATGAGTGGAGAACAGGAGGGCTTCTTAAAGAAAAACTAACAGGTCTGTGAGAGCTGGAATTCTTACTGGTTGGTAGGTGATCAAATACTTATGTCATGCAATAAAATGCAAATTAATTACTTAAAAATCATACAATGTGATTTTCTGGATTTTTGTTTTAGATTACGTCTCTCACAGTTTAAGTGTACCTATGATAAAAATTACAGACCTCCACATGCTTTGTAAGTAGGAAAACCTGCAAAATCGGCAGTGTATCAAATACTTGTTCTCCCCACTGTAGATATTCCATTAAAAATCAGCCGTTTCCAGCTACAATAGCAATTTACAACATTAACAATGTCTACACTGTATTTCTGATCAATTTGATGTTATTTTAATGGACCAAAAAAATGACATTTCTAAGTGACCCCAAACTTTTGAACGGTTGTGTATACAGTTGAAGTCGGAAGTTTACATACACCTTAGCCAAATACATTTAAACTCAGTTTTTCACAATTCCTGACATTTAATCCTAGTAAAAATTCCCTGTCTTAGTGAAATGTCAGAATAATAGTAGAGAGAATAATTTATTTCAGCTTTTATTTCTTTCATCATATTCCCAGTGGGTCAGAAGTTTACATACACTCAATTAGTATTTGGTAGCATTGCCTTTAAATTGTTTAACTTGGGTCAAACGTTTCGGGTAGCCTTCCACAAGCTTCCCACAATAAGTTGGGTGAATTTTGGCCCATTCCTCCTGACAGAGCTGGTGTAACTGAGTCAGGTTTGTAGGCCTCCTTGCTCGCACACGCTTTTTCAGTTCTGCCCACACATCTTCTGTAGGATTGAGGTCAGGGCTTTGTGATGGCCACTCCAATCCCTTGACTTTGTTGTCATTAAGCCATTAAGACCCATTTGTGACCAAGCTTTAAATTCCTGATTGATGTCTTGAGATGTTGCTTCAATATATCCACATAATTTCTCCTGCAGCAAAGCACCCCCACAGCATGATGCTGCCACCCCCGTGCTTCACGGTTGGGATGGTGTTCTTCGGCTTGCAAGTCATCCCCTTTTTCCTCCAAACATAACAATGGTCATCATGGCCAAACAGTTATATTTTTGTTTCATCAGACCAGAGGACATTTCTCCAAAAAGTACGATCTTTGTCCCCATGTGCAGTTGCAAACCGTAGTCTGGCTTTTTTATGGCAGTTTTGGAGCAGCGGCTTCTTCCTTGCTGAGTGGCTTTTCAGGTTATGTCGATATAGGACTCGTTTTACTGTGGATATAGATACTTTTGTACCTGTTTCCTCCAGCATCTTCACAGGGTCCTTTGCTGTTGTTCTGGGATTGATTTGCACTTTTCGCACCAAAGTACGTTAATCTCTAGGAGACAGAACGCGTCTCCTTCCTGAACGGGATGACGGCTTCGTGGTCCCATGGTGTTTATACTTGCGTACTATTGTTTGTACAGATGAACGTGGTACCTTCAGGCGTTAGGAAATTGCTCCCAAGGATGAACCAGACTTGTGGAGGTCTACAATGTTTTTTCTGAGGTCTTGGCTGATTTCTTTTGATTTTCCCATGAAGTCAAGCAAAGAGGCACTGAGTTTGAAGGTAGGCCTTGAAATACATCCACAGGTACACCTCCAATTGACTCAAATGATGTCAATTAGCCTATCAGAAGCTTCTAAAGCCATGACATAATTTTCTGGAATTTTCCAAGGTGTTTAAAGGCACAGTCAACTTCTGACACACTGGAATTGTGATACAGTGAATTATAAGTGAAATAATCTGTCTGTAAACAATTGTAGGAAAAATTACTTGTGTCATGCACAAAGTAGATGTCCTAACCGACTGGCCAAAACTATAGTTTGTTAACAAGAAATTTGTGGAGTGGTTGAAAAACGAGTTTTAATGACTCCAACCAAAGTGTATGTAAACCTCCGACTTAAACTTTATATATATATATATATATACACACTACCAGTCAAAAGTTTGGACACACCTACTCATTGAAGGGTTTGTCTTTATTTTTACAATTTTTTACATTGTAGAATAATAGTGAAGACATAAAAACTATGAAATAACATATATGGAATCATGTAGTAACCAAAAAAGTGTTAAACAAATCAAAATATATTTTATATTTGAGATTCTTCAAATAGCCACCCTTTGCCTTGATGACAGCTTTGCACACTCTTGGCATTCTCTCAACCAGCTTCATGAGGTAGTCACCTGGAATGCATTTCAATTAACAGGTGTGCCTTCTTAAAAGTTAATTTGTGGAATTTCTTTCCTTCTTAATGCGTTTGAGCCAATCAGTTGTGTTGTGACAAGATAGGGGGGGGTATACAGAAGATAGCCCTATTTGGCAAACGACCAAGTCCATATTATGGCAAGAACAGCTCAAATAAGCAAAGGGAAACGACAGTCCGTCATTACTTTAAGACGTGAAGGTCAGTCAATACGGAAAATGTCAAGAAATTTGAAAGTTTCTTCAATTTCAGTCACAAAAAACATCAAACGCTATGATGAAACTGGCTCTCATGAGGACTGCCACAGGAATGGAAGACCCAGAGTTACCTCTGCTGCAGAGGATAAGTTCAATAGATTTACCAGCCTCAGAAATTGCAGCCCAAATAAATGCTTCACAGAGTTCAAGTCACAGACAGGGATTGTGGAGGCCAGGTCATCTGATGCAGCACCTTACACAGCCTGGAGGTGTGTTGGGTCATTGTCCTGTTGAAAAACAAAGGATAGTCCCACTAAGCCCAAACAAGATGGGATGGCGTATTGCTGCAGAATGCTGTGGTAGCCATGCTGGTTAAGTGTGCTTTGAATTCTAAATTAATCACAGACAGTGTCACCAGCAAAGCACCCCCACACCATAACACCTCCTCCTCCATGCTTTACGGTGGGAAATACACATGCGGAGATCATCCGTTCACCCACACCGCGTCTCACAAAGCCACGGCGGTTGGAACCAAAAATCTCCAATTTGGACTCCAGTTCAAAGTTCTTGAAATGTTCCGTATTGACTGACCTTCATGTCTTAAAGTAATGATGGACTGTCATTTCTCTTTGCTTATTTGAGCTACTCTTGCCATAATATGGACTTGGTCTTTTACCAAATAGGGCTATCTTCTGTATATCTTATCACAGCACAACTGATTGGCTCAAATGCATTAAGATGGAAAGAAATTCCACAAATTAATCTTTATGAAGGCACACCTAGTCCAGGTGACTACCTGATGAATCTGGTTGAGAGAATGCCAAGAGTGAGCAAAGCTGTCATCAAGGCAAAGGGTGGCTACTTTGAAGAATCTCTATATTTTGATTTGTTTAACACTTTTTTGGGTACTACATGATTCCATGTGTTATTTCATAGTTTTGATGTCTTCACTATTATTCTACAATGTAGAAAATAGTAAAAATAAAGAAAACCCCTGGAATGGGTAAGTGTGTCCAAACTTTTGACTGGTGCTGTATGAATAGGGTGTAAATAGTATTTTTGTTGCCTCTTGGTGTCTTTCCAATATATAACTCTTATTTTATTTTAATTTTTTATTATTTTTAATTTAATGTTATATCTTATGTTGTTATAGTCTAACTTTTCTGTACTTTGTCATGTATTTGTACGTTTTATATGGACCCCAAGAAGAGTAGCTGCTGCATGTGCATATTCTTATAAACTAAACTATACATATGCAGTCTGATACTGTTTGTCCTTATCTAATTAATGCTTATTTTATCAACGTATGTCTTGTGAAAGGCTACGATAACTTACAATAACACTGGAAATCAGTAACTTGATTTATTGGCTGTTGATAGGAATTAGAGTGTGTGGGGGAGGGGGGGGGGGGGAGGGGGGGGGGCACTAACGGGTTCAAACCTGGGTCCCCACCCAATGTACCAGAAGAGCACATACTGTAAGTCCACTAAGCTGAAGCCTACTGTAGGTCTTCAGGTCTCAGGCAAGGTTACTCATCACGCAAGTGTGGTCACCAAACTACCTACATTACATCATACAGGATTTTGAATGCATTATGGATGTGTGTGTTGTTAGATAAGTGTGTTGCCTATTGTAAAGCGTCTTTGGCTGCGTTTACACAGGCAGCCCAATTCTGATATTTCTTTCATTAATTGGTCTTTTGACAAATCAGATCACAAAAAGATCTGCTGTGAAAAGATCTGATGTGACTGGTCAAAAGACCAATTAGTGGAGAAAAATATCAGAAAAGGGCTGCCTGTGTGAACGCAGCCTTGGGGTTTCAGAAAAGTGATAGTCTTAAATAGTAGCATGTGCTACTTATTATTCTAATAATTATTATAAGTAGAAATAGGCCCGGTTGAATAGGTTGAATGTTTGTTTTTGTCTTGTGTTGCGACACTATACACATAATGTGCGTAGTTTATGGATGTGTACGTGTGGGTGTTGTTGTAAGGGATTCTGTCACCTGACTAAAGATAAAGTGCTTGTTTGGATCTTTATCGATAT